CTTATCAAGATTATATGGTCAAGTCGTAGACGGACTGGAATTGAAAGACAATACAGTGTATTTTGGGACTGATTCAACTGTTGCTTTAACTTGGATCAAAGCAGAGAGTTCTTGGAATACGTTTGTAGGAAACAGTGTCACAGAAATAAGAAAGAATACAAACTCAAATGACTGGCATTTTGTGCCAGGGCATACGAACACAGCAGATTTGCCTTCAAGAGGTTGTGATGCTAAGACTTTATTGAAAAGCAAATGGTGGAAAGGTCCAGAATGGTTATGGAAGTCACATGAATTTTGGCCATTAAGTGAAAAACAAGTCATTGATGAAAATTTGGTTAGATCGGAAGAGAAAAAAATGATAATCAGTAATGTGGAGCATGGATCAGTTAACTTCACTGACAATTTACTTTTTTCCTCGAAATATACGAAGATTCTTAGAATGCTTGCCTGGATACTTCGTTTCATTAAAAACTGCCAACGAAAAGAAAAACTTAAGAAAACTGAGTTGACTTATGAAGAAGTTCAATCAGCGGAGCACTGTTTGCTAAAATTAATTCAGTAGGAAAGTTTTGCCGGAAGAAAAATGAAAATCTTGAAGAACATGCAAACATTCAGAGACGAAAATAATATTGTTCGACTCAGAACAACGCTTCTCTTGGAAAATGAAGAGGAAAATTTCAAGTGTCCCATATTGTTGCCCGGAAGCCATGAGATTATTCATCTACTGGTAAGGCGAAAGCATTGTGAACTACAGTATGCAGGACTTCGAACTCTGATTGCCAATTTAAGAGAAGATTACTGGATTATTTCATTCAATAGAAACAAATAGATTAGCGAAACAAGTTAGCTTCTAGTTGTATTTCATGTAAAAGATTCAAAGCCAAACCTACAGAACCACCTTTTGCACCTCTTCCTAAGAACAGAATAAAGGCTGCTGCAGTTTTTGAAGTTTCAGGAATTGATCTCGCAGGCCCTTTGTATTTGCCTTCTGGCGATAAGACATGGGTTGTACTTTTTACCCGTGCCATTTATAGGGCTGTCCATCTTGAATTAGTCAATTCCCTGTCTACAGAAGTTTTTATTATGGCTTTAAGAAGATTCTTTGCTCGAAGAGGTAGAGTAAATATAATCTATACTGACAACGGTACTAACTTCATTGGTTCAAGCAATGCTCTAAGAAATTTAGATTGGGAGATCATGTCGTTTTCCACTATCAAGAAAATCAAATGGATTTTTAATCCTTCAACAGCCGCCTGGTGGGAGCGCATGGTTAGAATGTTGAAAGAGATGCTAAGAAGAATTTTGGGCACGAAAAGTCTTGACTCTGAAGAGGTGGAAACTATTCTATGTGACTGCGAAGCCACAATAAACCTCTTAAATAGACCTCTTAAATATATTGAAGACAATTCGGAAGGCCTGAAGCCATTAACTGCCGCTTGTTTCTTACGAAGTATTCCTAGCAGTGAAACAACTGATTTAGACGAAATCGACAGTAAAAGTTTAAATATATGATTGTGTTTTGTACAAAAATTAAGGCAGGATTTAAGAATGAGATTTCGGAATGAGTATTTAGCAATGTCGATTCATAAAGGTAAGAGCCGGGAAGAATCTTTAAGAGTTGGAGAGGTTGTTCTTTTAGAAACTGATGGCAAGCGTATCAACTGGCCTTTAGGAATCGTCATTTAAGTCTTTTCTGGAGCAGATGGACACTCCAGAGTTGCCAGAGTGAGAACAGCTGATGGAGAGAAGTTGAGACCATTCCAAAGACTTTATCCGTTAGAAATCAACAGTTCGAAAAAGTTACCATTTGTTGCCCAAGATGCTCGAAGGGATGAAAGTGCCTCTACGAATATGCCTCTACGCTCTGATGCTAATGCTTCAGATTCCAGTGAAGATAATGATTCATCACCCAAAATCCCAGATTTTGTTACTAGAGCTGGTCGACGTGTTAAAATTTCCAATAGACTTGATTTATAACTTTTGTTGCAATTTATAGGTATCCTACAAATTGCAAGGTGGGAGGTTGTTTGAGTAATACCAGCTACAACACAACTCTGTTTAAGTTTTATGTTTTAAAAATAAGCTCTATCGTTTTGGTAAGAACTGCTTCTAAATTTTTTGGAAACATCTGCAATTAAAGTGTTTTTCATATTAAATCCATAGTTATTTTCGAATCCTTTAAAATTAATCATAAATGCAATTTTATTGATCCTGATGCAGGAGTTCATAAATCATGTTAAATCCCAAAATAACCGGCTGTAAAAGTTGAGAGAATGTGGGGCAGTGCTAAATGGAGGAACAAGAGACATAGGGGGACAGCGAGACATCATTTAGAATCTTATTTAGCAGAGTTCAAATTGCGACAGCATCAGGTCAAATAAAATACAGACTGTTTTGAATCTATATTAAAGTCTATATCGGTCCATTTTCCACCGAAATCCGATTGACTACTTTGATTTTAAATAAAGTGTTTTAATTTATGATTTGTAGCAAAAATTTTAGGTGTAGATTGGCGGCACTTAAAAACAGCCAAATCTGCAGCTGCGGTGGCATTAACACAGCTGCAGTATCAAAACAATTAGCAGTATTTTTTTAAACTGCAGACGGAACGATACATTCTATGATTACTGTTAACAAATATTGTTTATTCCTTGCCACAGCCTGTTATATTTTCTCATTTTAGAAGATATAAAACTTTGGAAAGAAATCAGTATTGATGTCGATTAACTTGTTTCAAGTTTAGAAAAGATTGGTAAATTTTATCATTAAAATAGCTAAAATTATAAGACGGAAGTCGTATGTGTGTTCAGAAAATAACTGGAAAGTGAAGAGAGGGATTGGTCAAAAATAAAAGGGAAATTCTTCCCACGGGTTGCTAAACGAAAAGTACTGGAATAAATCATGCTAAATCCCAAAATAACCAGCTGTAAAAATTTCTGCCACCATTAATAGCCGTACTTCTGCCCGTATCGTGTGAATTGTCATCGTACAAAGTGAATGTAATGGTAGAATAGTAAGAAAGAAACTGTCCACAAGTCTGCCGTCCTTGGACAAATTGTTCTTGGCAAAGGGCACCCGGGCTGAATTACCCTATCTCGATCGAAGTTAGATACTTTTCTAACTTTGGAAGTGAATGTTGAAGTCCACTCGAATCAGGCAAATCCATAAGTTGAAGCGAAGATGAGAAGCAATTATATCGATTAATGCATTTGCAGAGAATCAAAGAAAGCATATAAAATTGGCCAAATCAAACCAGTTTAAATACAAATTCTGGAAAACGTCATTTTATCAATGAAAGCAAATTTAATACAGTTCGTAGTGATGGTCATCTCATTACTTGGAGAAAACTAAATACCGCTCTTAGACCTCCCATTCCGTTAATGTTTGGGGTTGCATGATCGCAAGTGTAGAAAACTTGTTCTCATGGTGGTAATTATGAGTTACATGAGTTGTTTCGATAAACTCAAAAAGAATATAAAGAAAAGGGCTATAAAGTTAGGCTTCGGTGAAAATTTCATATTTCAGCATAATAAACCCAAAATGTGGCGGATTACTGAAAAATGTTATATGTCTAATCAGTATCAGCTACAACTGCATTCTCCCCATTCCCCAAATATCAAGGTTATTGCAAATCTGTGGTCTGTGCACAAAGGCTATACAATAAAATAACAGGAAAAGATTTAACGTTTATTTTAGAAATCAAACAATAAAAGTCAGCGTTATATTTGAAAATTTTTCAGGATTAGTTCGATGGTTTTAACCCTTTGCGGCACAGTGTGTCCGTTCTGGACACACCTAAAAATTTCCTTCTGTACGCACAGAAAAATTGAATGAAAAAGGAGTTATAGGTTACTCTGAACCTTCTTTATTTACAATAAAGAAGTAGATGGCAGCTCAGCACAAACCAGCCCATATATTTTAGCCATGTTTAGTTTTTTTAAGACCCTCATTTTTCAAAGAAATATTCCAGATTTTTTTAGGGTATAAAAGGAATTGTTTGAAAAGAAATTTCTATGTTATACTTTCAGCTGAATGCTAATCTTCTTATTTTATATTAGTTTTAAATTTTTACCTTGAAATCTTGGCTAAAATCAAACGGCGAACCCAAAATGTCCCCAGACCAGGTTCACCGATAATTTAGGACAACTGAGAGTCTGTATTCGTTTCTCCGCATCTCATCGGTCAGTCCATTGACAACAATGCTCGTTTCAGCACGCTTTTGGAAGCTCTATTCAATCATAAAACAATAAGTGCTATCTTCACAAAATTTTGTTTGTGTACTCCTCTAAGCCTAATAAGACTACCCTTTTTTTTTAAATCAAAACTCCGACTTTGAAAGGTAGCGTGCCGGAAAGGGTTAACTAACGAACCATCTTCCTCAGCTGTCAAAAGTGCAAATGAAGCTGATTTTTGTTGTTCGACTTCTAAAATAATCGTTGTAGGCGTGTTATTTTAACCTAAATAATTTAACTTGTTCTGCAAGAAGAATGTAACCTTCAGATACAATTAAAAATGTTATCGAGTCTGTGCCACGACGTTTTGAGGCAATAATAAATGCTAACAAGCATGCAACAAAATGTTGATATTTGCTTATTAATTAAAAACAATGGAAGTTTGTTTAGTGTATTCTAAATTATTGCAAATAAGATGCCTCTAACCAATTTTAACCCTGTTTTAGCTTATAATAGCTTAAGCGAGAAGATAAATCCTACATAGGAAGACATTAGCGCTGTTGTGAACTGATGGCCTGCATTATGGAATTTAAATGAAAGTTTTCAAAATACATAGAAATTATACAAAGCTGTGACAAGTGCATTTTTCTATAGATTTTCATAACAATTTAAGTTTTTGTAAACTTACTCCTTTAATAATTATCATTTTAGTTACATTTTACTGTAGGATTTCTATTAACTTTGATATATGCAAAAAATTTGTAACTGCATTGTTAAGAACTTCTTTTTGATCAGTATCAAGACTCATCTAGCTACTTTTTATTCCAGTGCATCAAAACATGCAGTCGTAGGGCTCATGACTGCCCTCAGAGAAGAACTTCATGATATGGGAAAGGAAGATTTTATTCAAATGACAACCATCTGCCCAAGTACAATGAATACTGGTCTTGTACAGAAACCAAAAACGAGGTAAATTTTGTTTTTTGACCAAACGGTTATGGTTTAATTTCACAAAGATTTTGAGTAAATGGACATCGGAAAGAAGATAAGCGTTAATCTCTTTATTTTCAAAAAACTACTACAGTCAAAAGTCGTTAATCCGGACTCGTCGGGACTTTGGCGATTCCGGATTATCGATTTTTCCCGGATTATAGATCATCAGTTTAAATCTGGTAAGATGGCATGCAGAAATTATAAAATTAAAAATATGAAACCGTAATTTATGACATAAAGAGCAATTATGATCTAAAGGGTATCAAAATTTACAAAAAAGCTTAATATTTATTTGTTTACTTTATTAAACTAATGACGACGAATTTCATTTAAATCGTATTAAAGACTGAGTACATCGAGATGAAATACTACATTTAGTAAGGAATAATAAGCCAAATAAAATAAAAACATCTGCCCTGAAGATAAGGATAATGCTGACAGATCAACTTTGAATTCATTGCGCGCCGCAGCGTTCCCCCCCGCAGAGCAGCGTGAAATTGATACAGATTTCGGAATGGTTAGATAAACAAAGGATATGCCTTTATGCATTTTTTGCAGCAATTCCACTTTTTGTTTAATGCACTTCGAAACATACTTTCGCTTTGTAGATCCTTTACATATTAGTAAATATATATCAGAAATTCTATTTGACATAATCGAAAGTTCAAGCTTACTTTTATAAAATTGCTCTAACAGTCTGCAAAAAATAAGCCGGATCCAATTCGAAGATTAAGGAACAACGCAATCTGCAACATTAACTGACTTAGCTTATACCGTCCGTTATACATTAAACGCACATTGGTAAACGTATTTTGCGCATGCGCACACGCATATTCGCAGCCGTAAAGGACTTACACACATGCGTCCGGATTATGGGTGTCCTAATTAACGACTTTTGACTGTAATATTCATTTCAAAACTTGTATTTCATACAACACTGATGTATTCGCATCGTGCAAAATCTGTAAGGAAATAATTTCATAACGTATTTATTTTTACTTTAAGTAGTTCTTTTAAATTATCTTCAAGAAGTTTAAATCAGTTTATTCTTGTAAATAATTTGTTTGCATGAATTTACATTTTAATTACCCTGTTCAGTTTTGTATTTAAAGCTGTCTTGTTAAGAATACGTCTTTTTAATCAAAATTGTTACAGCATTATTATGTGGTTAAATTCTACATTAATTTATTATGAAACCTGACCTTATCAGATATTAAGCGTTTTAAAAATATGTACTTCTACTGCTAGGAATGTGATATTTAAAGTAAAATACTAACAATGAAGTTAAAATTAAGTCACCTGCCCTGAATATTTCATTCACTACTGAGACTCATCAGCTGCCAAGCGATAGTGCTGAAACCTGGCATTGGATTGTGGTTCAAGGCCATTGAACGGCTGCCTGCATAAGTATTTCCATGATTTTTCCCCTGTATAATCTATCTAAGAGCCAGCTTTCCTTATAAAACCATTTGTGAAGACATCCCTCCCTTTGGCCAAACAGCACTAGCATGCTTTGCAACAATTAAAACAAACCAAAAGATATGAGCTAAAATAACACACAAAATAATGATTATTGGAGGAGTTAAAGCAACAATAATCAACAGAATATTCATAAATTTACAAGACTAGTTTCAAACGTGCAAAATGGCGGATTTACGTTTTAACCATAATCATAAATCAATACAAGGACTAGGGATTACAGATAACTGTCTCTAAAAATTGTTTTGGGATCATCTTTCGCACACGTAATTGGTTACATGCAAAAATACTTTGCTTAAACTGTCAACCAAGCCACCTATCCATACAGCTTTTTCATCTGAAATTTGTACAGAATATTGTGCACTCGTTCATTAAAATGCTTAGTCTTGGCCATCTCGCTTTTAATCTGCCTGTTTTTCATAGCTGCAGTGCCGATGTTTTTAATGGTATCGGTTACGGCGACTTCATCTATGTGTTCAAAGCATGATTAATCTTTCTGTGCATATTCAATCACATTTGCTCATTTAGCCAGGAATAAACGGTCTGAAATTTTAATGCAGTATCTCCGTAAATACCGTTAAACTCTTCTGAGATTAAACAGCCAAGACTTCTATAAACAAAAGTGCTTTATCGCTGAATAAAACTTATGAATTTTCACCACATTTATTTCAGCTGCAAGAATGCTTATTCCATTTGTCTGAAGAACATGAGCAATGCACCACTATTTAGCTTAAGCTAGAAGTTTGAGAGATGGCACTTGTCAATCCTGATATTGCCAGACTGACTGCACTGCTATCTCATAATAATTTCTAAAGTTATCAAATGACACTTTTTGCATTTCATGCTTATGAAGTTTTATTTCTCCATGAAAGTTATTTGTTAAACAATCTAGTAATTAAAACTGCAAAATATAACGAGTTGTGGTCCAACATAGCAACTGCACTTTACTTCAATATGAACTTAATCAATTAATTACAGTTAACTGTAATTAATTGAATCGAAAATGTGTAATTAAGATAACATGCCATACAAGTATTTGTAATATAATGTGTAATCTCTTGAAATCCTGTGTGAAGTATCTACCTTGTTGTTGATCTTAGTAGCTTTATATAATTTAGTTCTGAACAAAACTTCTGAAATATTACAGACAGAAAATTTTCGATGGAGATGATTAATGTTTCACATTTTTCAGGTTCCCATCTTTCTTTCCTATTCTGGATGTCGATGAAGTATCCAACATTATAGTGAACTCTGTATTAAGGAATAAAATGTTAGTTGTGATCCCAACAAAAGCTCATGTCATTTACAAAATTGCAAAGTGAGTATTGTTTCCTTTTTTACTATTAGCAAATGATATGTAAATAGTTTAAAAGCTAATATACACAAATGCTAATACACATGCAAATGTAGTATATATGCATATACACTGCCCTCCAAAAGTTAAGGAACAGCATGTTTTTCAAAACTCACCATTACAAAATTGTCCGTAATTTTAAATTCACAGTTCATATGGATGACAGTAGCGAAACTTAACAAAATATAATGCAAAAACAATAGCTAACACTTTTATTTTATAGAAATGAATATTTATAGGAATTGGAGAAAAAAATTCAAAAACTAATTTTTGTTTACTAGTCTTGGTCTTCATTTGTTATTACAGTTTTGTAGACAATATCCAGAAGTAGTTTGCCCGATTCGCTGGGATGGAAATGAGGATGTCACAAGCTGATGCTGCTAGACGTTTCAATGTCTCTCTAGTGTCATCCACCGACTATGGAATCATTTTGAATCCGAGGATTTTGCGTCTAGAAGACATGTTCCAGGCAGACCTAGAGTTACAAAACCTACGGAAGATCATTAATTAGCTCTTTCGGCCTGAAGGAGGAGTAACATAACTGTGCCTCAGCTCAAGGCAGATTCTTTAGTGGTTGCAGGAATAACAATCTCAGCTACTACAGTGCTACAGGCCTGTATGTTAGACGACCAATTGTTTGTGTCCTCTTGCCCCGAGGACACAGAGCTGCCCGTTTATGTTGAGCAGGAGAACCAGTCTCCTGGACCAAACAAAGGGCGTTTGTTTTCTTCACAGACGAGTCCAGGTTCACACTGGAGAGAGATTCATTTCGTCAGCTGATCTGGAGGGAACAACACACCAGATACAACCAATCCCAGAGTGTGGAAACAGTTACAGAGGTGGTGGAATAATGATTTGGGCTTGATTTCTCTCGGTGGTCACACTGACTTGCATGTGCTCCATGGTGGAAATTTGACTGGTGCGAGATATTGAGACTAGATCGTTGATCAATATGTCCGCCCATACGCCAGTGCTACTGGTCCTGGATTTCTTCTGATGGACGATAATGCACGACTGCACTGAGCTCGGGTTGCTGAAGAATATCTTGAGTGTTACGGTACGGAGCAGATGGAATGGCCAACTCAATACCCAGACCCGAATCCAATAGAGCATCTTTGGGACTACCTTGGAAGATAGGTTGCTGTTTCAAGTCCTCCTCCAAGGTCCTTTAGATGAACTTGAACAAGGATTACTCCGTGTCTGATGTTCCTTCCCATTTCACTAACCGACAACTTAATTAACAGCATGGAACGTCGCTGCTGCCAATGTATTGCAGCAAGGGGTGGGCACATCCCTTATTAGAACCTATTTTTGAAATGTTGCCATCCAATTTTTTCTCAAAAAACTGTGAAATACTGTTTCTCCAAGACTAGATTTCTCTGGCAAGAGTGCAATTTTTTTTTGGTGTAATTCATGCTTGTGTTGAACTTTAGAAACATTCTATGTTGTGTTCATTAAAGAACAGTTTAGTGAACATGTCCTGTAAGTTTCTTGTTTCTATATTGCTTCATTGTCAAATTAGACATAAAAATATGGAGTAATCCATGTCCAAGCTCACCTAGCGATCAAGGTCGTAAAAGCTAATATCACCTCGAATGACGATCAAGGTCGTAATCTTGATCGTTACCAAGCCTTGCTGTTCCTTAACATTTGGATGGCAGTGTATACATGCAACATATGATAATAAAATTCAGTGAATGCCTTCAGAAGCAAATAATTCATACCCATAACAGAGAATACGTTTTATATTCCTTCGAAGTAATATCTCATTTGCAATCCTTTTTTTGGCAACAACTACAGTTTCTAAAACCTACAGACAAAGGTTCTTTTTTGGTATCTCATTGAAAACCTTCATCACATGATTCTGAATATCTGGAGTATCCAAAAATCGGTGAACGATCGAAGGCTACAACTCCTCTACAACAGCGCTGTCCAACTTATCATAGCCCGCGGGCCATATTTTCTTCACCAAACATTTTGGAGGGCAAGAAGGTTGATAAATAAAAAGTCAGTTTATGTTAATCAAAAAAATATTTTATTTATACTAAAAAGAAAATTTGTTTAAATTTGTAATATATTAGCAAGAACATTATGGCCATAATTGTTTAGCAACAAAACCTTTTATGTCCACATCAATATTTGTTGTGGCAAGTCTAATTATATCTTCAAGAGTGGAATCTTTCAAACTGTTTCTATATTTTAACTTTATATATTTCATATCGGAGTATGCACGCTCGCAGATATATGTACTTCCGAACATTGACACAATTTGAAGTCTTTCTCTTTATCTAAAAATTTGAATATTTCTATTCCAGTTACTCCATGAGATGTAAAAAATGGGTCAGCCTGCAGGTCGCATAATTCTATTTGATATTTAAGATCAACGTAGTTGATATCAATATTAATTGGATCACAAAATAAATCAATAGACAGTTTAAGATAATCAAATTGAGAAAATCTTTCATTGAAATCTATAATTAGCATATTCAATTTTGGTAGAAATATTTTAAAATTCGTTTCTATATTACATTCCTTCATTTCTTTATAGATCTCTTTGCAAGATTCAAAATGAAATAAATTATTTTGCTCCAAATTAAACCTTAACAATTTTAATTTGTTTCTAAATCCAGTAACATATCTATAAAGGCAACACACATTTTGATCTTGTCCTTGCAAGAATTTATTCAAAATATTTAAATAATTTGTAATGTCCGTTAGGAAAGCAAGTAAATAAATAAAATTTTTATCAACTAAATTTGCTGTTAAATTTAAGTATAAAGTATAAAGAATCTCCTCAAGCACTTTCCAGCACTTAACCAACGAACATTACTATGTAAAAGCAGATCTCCATACTCAGTTTCCAATTCATCCAAAAATGTTTTAGTTTTTGGTGTGTAAGAGAACGATTTCCGCCACGAATTAAATTAGTAATATTTCAAACCTTGTCCATTACGTCTTTTAGTTGTAGGGATAAACCACATAATGCCTCCTGATGGATAATACAGTGTAACATACGACATATTATTCCTTCTTTTTGCAAAAGTCTCACAAGCCCAATATTTTTGCCCGTCATAGCTCTAGCACTGTCGCTTACAAGAGCAGTGCACTTGTCAAATCCGCCATACTGCTCTACTGAACATTTTAATTGTTTGTAAATATATTCACCTTTTGTTGTTCTGTGTAATGATTGTAATTTTAAAAGTTCTTCTGAATAATTATAGTTTTCATTTACAGTTCTTATAAAGATAGGCATTTGACTTGCATCGGAAATATCTGTGCTTTCATCCAATGCTACCGAAATATAGCAGCAACTATTGATTAGGTTTTCTAATTTATTAGTGACATGCATGCATGCTAATCTCGCCAACCATAGATAAACGCCAATATTGAGCCAACCATCATCAGACATTAAACGGATTGCTGCTGTATTCAGCCAGGTTAAGTGAAGTTATGCAAACTAAATAGTACCTACTTTAAATTCAAATTACAATAAAATTGTCACATAGTAAAATAATTTTAATATTAATAATAATAATTTAATAACGTAAATTTATTCATAGTAAAATGTACTCGGGGGCCGCCAGTTGAACAGCCCTGCTCTACAAGACCAAATGTTCAATATAATGACCGAACATTATCATGGAGAAGGAACTAAGGTTTGGATAATTCTATCAGAGCACTTTCTTATCTATTAGCATTCATTCTTATTCTTTATGGCTAACAGCTTTGCTATGAAAAGTCAAGAAGCCTTCCACTTCGAGTAGTGTCTTTAATGGAATACCAAAATCCCCAAAATTTTTAAACTATTCATAAAATGCTCTTCACTTGGTTCCACATCATAACAGACAGAATGGATCATGAGTTGCCCATCTCCAGTTTGCGCAATTAACTGTGACACAGAAGTATTGCGATCAATGGATTTGCGAGTTGTGCTGTAGTTTATGTAAAATGAAACTGAGTAAAATAATGATTCAAATAACAAATGTTTTAAATTTATAGACTAAAATTATTTTATATTTGAAAACCCATTTCATCACATCAGTAGGCAATATGCAGCATCTGACACAAGTAATTCTCTATAACAAATTTAGTATTAATCCAGTAATTAATACTAAATTTGTTATAGGATCTGAATTGTATAGATTTCTTACAGAAAATCATAGCAGATAAGATCCTTATATATTTTAGGTGAAATATTGAAAATGCTATCCATCTGGTTAAGATATTCATATATTCTACCAAAAACATTTATGCAAATCTTGAAACAAGTCAATGGCAATATCGGCAAATTCATGGAGATTTTCTAAGATGACAAGACTTTTGCAATTATTCCACTGCAGAAACATACATTTTATATTATATACCATATTTTACCCAACTTTGTATAATGAATGAAGCTTTATTCAGTTCTTGCAGAATTTAGCTAGAAAACAAAACTTCTGAATATGAGATTTATGCATTGAATTATCTACATATTGTACATAATTTTTAAGTTCAGTATATTTCATCTGGAATACAAAATATTAAGCTTAGGAAAACCGATATTAAAGTATATAAATTCTGCAGAGATTTAAATTCAGTTATTAGTTATTCGTTGTGAGTTACTTCACTTAACATTTTGATCAAAACTGATAGTTAGTTTATTTGAATTCTAATGGTGTTTAATCATATGCGTATTCAAATTATGCTTTTAAAGAATTCAGAAATGCAAAACCTGAGTTAGTTCTGTTATCTACATCATAGCATTTTCCAGATATATATCTACTTTTTTACGTGCAAGCCATTCTTTTAATAAAAATTGAGCTTGTTTTAGGAAGCGAACTAGTTAGAATTGGTAGGCATATGAATTCAAATGTTCTTATGCAGGTAATTTCAGAATATCTCTTTTATTTCAACATGACTTGGATAAAAGTAGCAGGTTCATTTGGGATAGATAACTGCTCTAATTTGAAGTGATTGTTTAATATAATTGTAAGCAAACTTTTACCTTTGTGTTAACAAATCTAAATTATATTGCATAAAATATATTTTCTAAATTATATTGCATTTACTGTATATTAAATATAAACTGAAATCTCTCTTTTCAGTTTGTTTCCTCCTCAAGCACCTTTGCTCCTTCAGAGGTTTTTAGAATATGCGATTGATCCAAATGTGAAATAAAAACTAGTTTTGCTAGATATGTGATACATTTTTAATTTTTCAAAATATGTTCATTTGTATAAAATCTAACTTTTAATCTTAATATTTATGTATTCTTGCTGTGTTTCTTATTACTCATGCATTAATAAATTCATCTAATTAAAAGAATAATAGATTATGCTTAAATTTGCGTGTACTTAGTATAGTGTTTGAAATAACTGCCTCAAATACTGTATATAATTATAGTTGATAACCAGTTATACAATAGATTAGTATAATGTAATAGCATTAACTGAGGTATGCAAAATATCCTGGCATTATTTTAGATCAAAAGATCACGTAGAATCTCCACAATACATATACAGTACAAAGTCCGGACGCCCATTACCTGGAATGATCTAAAATCTGGACCTCAAAGCCGTAAACTTGTTTTTTTGGTATGTTTTACTCATGCAAATTTGATTTTTCCTTTCATAATAAAACATGTGGAGATTTTCACTTAATTCTGATTCTTAATTTCACTTAGACACTAAAATACATTGTCATGAAAAAACAATCATGTAAGCATAAATTTGTGAGATTAATAATTTGGCTCTGTAGCTGAGTGCCTGTTTGGCATTACATCTCAAACCGAAGCATTGACCTATTTTATATCTCTGATGCCAACCTGGCAAGTCATTATTTATTATATTTTGTTTATCAATACATGACAGCTTCAGTAATAACTCATGCAGTGATGTCTAAACTTTTTTATATTAGTAATTGAATAAACAAGAGTAAGGCAACCTTTTCTGCTAACATTATGCTTGGCAATGATTATAGATTTTTTAAATGCTCTAAGAAATATTGAGGAAAAATTCAACAAAAATTTCTTTTCATATGCTAAAAAAAAATTTTTGTTTATGAAACTCATAGGCTAAAAGATTACATTTAGTGCCCTTTTAATTAAGAATAACTGATATGTTAATTCACCATAAACTTAGAAGTGGCGGCAGAATGTGCCACACCGGACGGCAGAATTTAGGTAAGGCACAATTTTTGGAATTTGAGGAAGCACCGAACGGCAAAATTAAGGGATGAGAAATTTTTATAATTTGGGGGGAGCATTGGGATCCAAAGGCAGGCGAAAATTTAGAACTTAGGAAGCTGCTTTGTAGCAGATTTTAGAGACTGCACCAGGCAGTATTTAGCGTCGGCCCTAGATAAAGCCTTAAGTATATGTGGGAGATTATTTATTCAGGACTCGGATTAGTTTTAAACATGTGCAAGAAATAAACGTAGGTATAGTAAATAACTAATACAATTCAGGCTTAATTTCAGTACGCAATAGCAGCAAGACAAAATTTAGTGGAACAATTTGGCTTTCGTCTCCAATCTTGTGTGATACACAGCCAATAATGTATAACGGACGCTATTAAGCTAGGCTAAAATTATATTAACCCTCTGGCTCATCATCCCGCGATTTCCGCAAGCAACTCAAATGTAGCAAAATTTGCTCATCCCACGATTTCCACGGGCATGTGTTTTTCTTCCTTTATTGTTCCAGTTCCTTTATTGCAGTTTATTCCTTTATTGCATCCAGTTTTTCCCCGCATTTAACCACTGAAATAAATTATATACAGTATTATGCTTTGGCCAACACATATCGTTAATTGTCCACTAAATTGAGGCGTTTAAAGGCAGGTGGTATTACCGCTCAAACTCCACCTTTTTCTTACAGAAATGGCTGCTAGATTCAGCATTCAGCGATCATCTTGATTATTTAATTAAATTATTAATTAGATTTATTGAATCTGGTGCAAAGACTGTGAAGTTGGACTTTGCCTTGAATCCTGTTTTGAACTCTATCATACTAAACTGCATTTCTACAGTATTTTTCTCTCAACGCTTTATATTTTCTTAAATTTTATACATTTTACTTTTTATATTATGCAATAAATAGAAATTAACTGTAATTCGACTGAAATTTATTTAAAAAAAGATTTTTTTTGGTGAGAACATCTGAAATTGGTTTTTCTGGCAACTTGTTTTCACATGATAAAATCTATATAAAAAATATTTTCCAGAAAGAAAAAGTGCATTTATCAATTCTCCAATATGATTTAAAATATGAAAAAAAATACACAATTTTGGAAGCGATTTCGGTCCACAAATTGAGCAGTCAGAGGGGTTAACTGATTCTAAGGCATTTCAGTTAATGTAGCAGACTGCGCTGCTCCTTAATCTTCTAATTTGATCCAGCTTATTATTTTTTGCAGACTGTTATTATTACAGCAATTTTATAAAAATTAAGCTTGAACTTTGGATTAAATCAAAAGAGTTTCCAGTTCTGTAGCTGCCAAATGATCTATCTACAAAGCGAAACCATGTTTCAAAACCATTAAACAAAAAGTTGAATTTCTGCGAAAAATTCATAAAGGTTATGCAATCATCTCAAAATTATGCAAGGGGGTATGCCATTGGAAAGTCAACTGTATATGACATACGAAGAAGGAACTTTTTGAATTTTTATGGAAGCAACTTAAACAAGTTACACTGAAAGAAATGTTTAATAAAGCAAGCAAATAAATATTAAACTTTTTCTGTAAATATTGATACCCTTTAGATAATTGTTCTTTATTTCATATTTTAATTGTATAATTTCTACATGCCATCTTACCAGATTTAAATTGATCTATTATCTGGAAAAATCCCAAATCCGGAATCGCCGAAGTACCGACGAGTCCGGATTTTGGAATTTGTACTGTATTACTTCCCTTGTTCTGAGCTAGCTAAACTATTTCCCTTAACTTTTCAGAACTCAGTTTTACCTGTAGATAAGAAATTACTCGTTTGTATCTCATAATCATTCATGCTTGTCCTCTTTAGTTTACGCAAGTAAAACAACCATAAACTTCAAGTACTGCAAAATACAACTCTTAAGCAGTAGATGGTTCATTAGGAACAGTGTTATTGATGATGAATACAAATCAAAATTAAAGTTCTTTGACGATTTTGAAAAAGTAAATAATGAATCTATACCCCACTTATTGATTTTCATAATACTAATAAGAAAATATCACAGCAGTGCTCCTTCACTATTTTATTTCACACTTAGACATTGTTAGTTATAGCTAGACAGATAGAACACAAGACACCAACAGGTCATTAGTTTGATTCCAAGTTTTTTACTACATTCGATATTTATGCATGCATTTGTCTTAATTTTTGCTTATTATGGTTTGCTGCAGGTTACTCTCCTAGAGATTTCTGTTACTTTTTGACCATTCCATATATTTTGTTTTCGGCTTTTTTATTCTGTTGTGACTTATGTCACTTGTCTGATGGCAATGTCAGGATAAGCCCATAAAATTCATCATGGCAAGAAGTTCAAGATTGCACCTGTTAGCAAGAGTTGAGTACTATATACAGGTGACAGTACGACTTTGCTCTTCCAACCCCAATTTTAATAGAGAGCTCCCCTAGGGGAGGGGTCTGAGGGTCTCCCAGCCTCCTTTCCCCTACCATCAACCCCTTTCAACTCGACATAATTTAGTGCCCCCATGCTGCACAGACACTATACATTTACAAGCATCCATGCTTTCTCCGGGATTCGAACCAGAGCCCTTCAGTAGGGCGGGCAGTCAGCGTCGCTAACCACTAGCCTGATTGGGCAGGATTCTTTACTCTAAATCAAGTGTGGCTCTAAAATTATCTCATCCAGTCAATGTATCCACTAATCCAGATAATTGCACGTGTCCTGACTCTCAGCTAATCGGAAACTACTTCTACTGACATCACAGACACGTCCCCACAACTGATCCCCCCACCCTGGTTCGCACAGCGGTTTTCTCAAACGGAATTCTCCATTTTCATTTATTTCTTGCTTCAATTTTTTAAATTGGTATTGCTTCAGCATTTGGAGTAAATATTTATTCCAATGTTACTACAATCATTATTATGTTAGCCACAAGGACTTGATCAACTTTACTACAAATGCTACACACAGGATCGGATGTTCTGGAGCCTGCAACAAATGACCAGATCTACACATCAGGATATTCTGAATTACTGGCAAACAAGTGCTCGCATTAATCGTGAGAGTAAGTTATCAAGTTTTTTTAAGAGAATGACAATAGCTGACCAAGGGGAGGGGGAACCATCAAGCCCCAATAATTCATTAGAATTCTCAAAGAAGGGATCCAGGAAGTAATTTTGCATTATTGCGGTTTGTTTGATTTCGAAACTTGGTTAGATAATTATTTATGTGCATCTCACAAGTGGCTTGAAAAACAGAATAAATCCTCTTAAAAATTTAAATCCTTTTCCGTATTAAAGGAATTAAAAAAATTTAAATCATTTTCCTATTTAAATACTATTTCTGTTTTCGCACTATTGCAACTTGTTTGCTTTCGAAGCTTGGTTAGCTAATCAATTACACTACTGGTAATTAAAATTACAACACCAGGAAAGAATGATCCGACGAACGTCAAAATCGCATTAAAGTAAGAACAGGTTGGGATATGCAAATGATTAGTATTGCAGTGCATTTTAGATGGCGCAGGAAAGAGAAATGACATCTGAAGCACTGCATGAAAGAAAAGTTGTGAAATGAATTTTGCATTCGGAAAGCAGTTTGTAAGGTGAGAGTGTGCTCAGAATATTGTCTTATGCCTCGAATAAGAAGAAATGCTTACCAGCAAGTGTTGAAATTCGATAGAGGCAGGATCGTTGCCTATCGAGAGTGTAGATTATTGTTCTGTGTTGACATCCAACCAGTCATGCAAATATGGTATCGATGGGTTGCCAAGAGTCATACTGAATGGCATGCAGGACTGTGCTCTACCGTGACTAACGACCGAGAGGACAGACATATTGTGAGGTCAGCCCTGCAAAACCATACGGTACAACCACATCATGGATCAATAGTCAAATGGGCATGTTTGCAGCATGCCCAGTATCCACTCGTATGGTGCATCGACGTTTGCAGCGTCGTGGACTATCAGCACGGTGACCATTATTTGGCTTCCCTTCACAATGCAGCATAAAGGCAGACGGCAACTCTGGTGCTCCAAATGACAAAGCTGGGTACAGGAGTGGCACAATGTTGCCTTTTCAAATGAGTCTCAGTTCTATGTGTAGTATTTTATTCGTACATGAATCTGGAGTGTCCAAGGAGACTGCACGTT